GAGGAGGACATCCCCAAGACTGCCGTCATTACACCGTTTGGCCTGTTTGAGTTTCTCAGGATGCCCTTCGGTCTCCGCAACGCTGCTCAGACCTTCCAGCGGTTTATCACCGACGTGAGGGGGTCTTCGCCTACATCGACGACATCCTCGTCGCCAGCGCCTCAGAGGCAGACCACGCCCATCATCTCCGCGCCCTCTTCGGCAGACTGCAAGAAGCAGGGGTCGTTATCAACCCAGGGAAATGTCTCTTCGGCGCGGCTTCGCTCTCCTTCCTAGGCCACACCGTCACCTCTCAAGGCATCACCCCAGCGCAGGAGAAGGTCACCGCCATAAGGAAGTTCCCCAAGCCTGCCACGGAGAAACAACTTCGAAAATACCTGGGGATATTCAACTTCTACAGGTGATTCGTTCCCAACTGTGCCCAGCTCTTCAAGCCCCTTCACGCCCTGATCACACCTAATAGGGCCAGCAGAAACACCAAAATCACGTGGACGCCCCCTACCGACGAAGCCTTCGAAGCCTGCAAGGAAGCCCTGGCCTCCGCCACCCTGCTGAACCACCCCCTGCCCGAGGCTCCTCTCAACATAGCCGTCGACGCCTCCGACACTGCCATCGGCGCTGTCCTCCAGCAACGTCAGGGTAAGCAATGGCAACTTCTTGCCTTCTTTTCGCAGACCCTGTCGCCGCGTCAGTCACGATACAGTGCCTTCGGAAGGGAACTCCTGGCAGCGTACTCCGCGGTGAGGCACTTCCAGTCGTACGTGGAGGCTAAGGAATTCCACATCCTGACGGACCATATACCCCTCACCTTCGCCCTACACTCGAGGACCCGCCGCCAATCCCCTCGCGAGGAGCACCACCTGGACTACATCTCACAGTTCACGACGGACATCCGTCACATCCGGGGCGCGGACAACGAGGCCGCCGATGTCCTCTCGAGGGTTACCATAGCTGCAGCGACCCACGCCGACGACGCAGTGGATTACCACCTGGTCAGCAGTGAACAACGCCAGGACGCGTCCATGATTCCACTCATAGAGGGCCAGACTTCCCTTAGCCTAGAAAGAGTCAAGATCCCAAACTCCCGCGACGACCTGCTCTGCGATGTCTCCCTCGTCTACCCACGACCATACATACCCGCCTTCCTCCGCCGGCGATTCTTCGACGCATACCACCAGCATCGAGGCATCCGGGCCACCCAACATCTCATCCGCGGCAAAGTCGTCTGGCCTGGCATCAATAAAGACGTTCGACAGTGGTGCCGATCGGGCATCGAATGCCAGAGGACCAAGATCTACAGGCATACAAAATCTCCCTTCCAGACGTTTCCTATCCCAGACGAAAGGTTCCAACACATCCACATCGATATAGTGGGACCCCTGCCCTCGGACGACGGCTACAGCTACATCCTGACGATGATCGACCGCTTCACCAGATGGCCCGAGGCTACGCCTATCTGCGACATCACCGCAGCGACGGTCGCCAGGACCTTCCTCAGCACCTGGATCTCCCGTTTCGGCACGCCGGATACCGTCACTACCGACCGCGGCGCCCAGTTCGAGTCGGAACTCTGGCGCCAGCTGATGGTACTACTCGGTTCCAAGAGAATCAGGACGACCGCCTACGACCCCTGCGCCAACGGCATGGTCGAGCGACTCCACCGGCATATGAAGCAGGCCCTGACATCCTCCTCCTCCAACAGGAGGTGGGTCGACCAACTCCCCCATGTCCTCCTTAACATCCGGACATCCTTCAAAGAGGACCTGCAGTGCACCGCCGCGGAAATGGTCTACGGAACAACGCTCGCCCTCCCTGCAGATTTCATCGTCACAGCCGGCAACTTCGAACCAGGAACCTTTGGCAAACAACTCTGCGAACGGATGACCCTGGTACGCAGCCGACCGACGAGACCCACCCGACAACAGGGTATATTCATGCCCCCAGGACTACAGGATTGCTCTCACGTCTTCGTGAGAAAACATCCCAGACCTCCTCTCTGTCCTCCGTACGAGGGTCCATTCCCGGTCATCCGAAGAGGCGACAAGACGATCACCATCCGCCGCCCAAAGGGAGAAGACACCGCCCAAAGAGAGAAAGAGACAGAAAAGGAAGAGATTATCTTAGCTATTTCACAAACTGCAGTTGATGATCAGGAAACAATACTTAAAAGGCTCCTTGACCAAGAGCATTCAAGTTGTGGGCAATGGGCTGCTTCCCACACAATCTACGGACATCTATTACATCCAAATAGGCTGTGAGATAAGAAGGGCGTATAAACATCAAAATAGCCTTAGTCACTCTCACTCTCCTCACTCACTCTCACTCTTACTCTCCTTACTCACTCACTCACTCTCCTTACTCACTCACTCTCACTCGTCTGACTCACTCACTCTCATCACTCTCCCTTTCACTCTCCTCATTCACTCTCCTCATTCACTCTCCTCATTCACTCTCCTCATTCTCTCCTCATCATCTCCTCATTTCTCCTCATTCACTCTTCTCTCTCATTCACTCTCTCATTCACTCTCCTCATTCACTCTCCTCATCTCACTCTCCTCTCTCCTCATTCACTCTCCTCATTCACTCTCCTCATTCACTCTCCTCATTCACTCTCCTCACATCTCTCTCATTCACTCTCCTCATTCACTCTCCTCATTCACTCTCCTCATTCACTCTCCTCATTCACTCTCCTCGTTCACTCTCACTCTCACTCTCTCCTCTCACTCTCCTCATTCATTTCACTCTCACTCTCCTGACTCACTCTCCTCGTTCACTCTCACTCTCTTTACTCACTCTCCTCATTCACTCTCACTCTCCTCATTCACTCTCCTCATTCACTCTCCTCTCACTCACTCTCCTTACTCACTTTCCTCTCACTCTCACTCTCTTTACTCTCTCTCACTCTCACTCAGTTCACTCTCCTCATTCACTCTCCTCATTCACTCTCACTCTCCTTACTCACTCTCCTCATTCACTCCTCGTCCTCGTTCACTCTCACTCTCTTTACTCTCCTCATTCACGCTCACTCTCCTTATTCACTCTCTTCATTCATTCGCACTCTCCATACTCACTCACTCTTCTCACTTTTTAGCATACCGCATTGCACCATCCTGCTTGCGCCCGTGTGGGTCGCCGCTCATGCAGCCCCACGCCAGCCCCCTGTGCCCACTTGCATAGACCACGCCGAGCACGGCAGACTTCCGGCTAGCGGGGTCAAATATAACGCGACCCAGGTTGACCTCCCCCACGATTCTCACAGAGACAGCCTGACCTCCGGACCGCACGGATCTCCAGCTGGCGACCGCGCGGCTGCCCTCGCCAGAACTCGTTACCGCGGTCACCACCAGCGCTGATCAGGCTCGTATCGTGTTTATTTCTACTTGTGTAGTAACTCTTAAGAATAAAGAATTAGCCGTTTCAAGTATAGTACTCTGCCCCATGTCTTAACGTAGAAGGTAGCCACCGTTTATATGCTTATCCACTCTCACTCTCCTTATTCACTCACTCTCATTCTCCTTATTCACTCACTCTCACTCTCCTTACTCACTCACTCGCATTCTTCTCACTCACTCACTCCCATTCTCCTTAATCACTCACTCTCCTCTCCTTCTCACTCTCATTCTCCTTACTCACTCTCTCATTCTCCTTACTCACTCTCCCTCACTCACCCACTCTCATTTCTCCTCACTTACTCACTCTCTTCTCCTCACTCACTCTCTCATTCTCCTCTCACTCTCATTCCTCACTTCACTCATTCTCCTCACTCTCCTCTCACTCACTCTCATTCTCCTCACTCACTCACTCTCATTCTCACTCACTCACTCTCATTCTCACTCACTCACTCATTCTCCTCACTCACTCACTCATTCTCCTCACTCACTCACTCTCATTCTCCTCACTAACTCACTCTCCTCACTACTCACTCACTCTCATTCTCACTCACTCACTTCACTCACTCTCACTCTCATTCTCCTCACTCACTCTCATTATTCTCACTCTCATTCTCCTTACACTCACTCATTCATACTCACTCACTCTCATTCTCCTTACTCACTCACTCTCATTCTCCTTACTCACTCACTCTCATTCTCCTTACTCACTCACTCTCATTCTCCTTACTCACTCCACTCACTCACTCTCATTCTCCTTATTCACTCACTCTCTTTTTCCTTACTCACTTACTCTCTCTCCTCACTCACTTTCACTCTCACTCACACGCTCACTCTCCTCACTCACTCTCACTCTCCCACTCCTTACTCATCCATTCTCACTCTCCTTACACACTCGCTCTCACTCGCCTTACTCAGTCTCACTCTCCTCATGCATTCACTCTCACTCCTCACTCTCACTCTCCTTCCCTACTCGCGGTAGCTCCGCAGGGCACCCACCACCCGCGTCGCTAGCCCTTCCCCATGGGCGTGGGTGCCTACTCACCACTAATGGATTGGGATGCCCTTCCCCTAAGCGCCTTACACGGGCTTATTACACTCTTGCCGTGCCCTGGGGACCGCGTCAGCACCCTTGCTTCGAAGGTCCTATGTATGAATTATTTTTTACTCGGTCTAGTACACCCTGACCGTTATTCTGAAGATATTAGGGGTCTTCAGAGCAATTACTCTGCGTCAAAGACACCCTCTGTATCTATCTATCTCTTTTTTCTCTCTATCTATCTCTTTCTTTCTCTCTGTCTGTCTATCTATCTCTCTCTATCTCTCTATTTATCTCTTTCTCTCTCTCTCTGTCTGTCTGGCTGTCTCTCTCTCTCTCTCTCTCTCTCTCTCTCTCTCTCTCTCTCTCTCTCTCTCTCTCTCTCTCTCTCTCTCTCTCTCTCTCTCTCTCTCTCTCTCTCTCTCTCTCTCTCTCTCTCTCTCTCTCTCTCTCTCTCCCTCTCTCAATATATGCTTTTTCTTTCTTCCACTCTTTTCATTATTCTTTCCCTTCTACTTCTTTCAGTTAATGAATATAGGTAATAGCAAGATAGTTTTGAATTTATAGCGTTTATTCACATTCACACACGTAATGGGAACCTATTACTTATCACAGAATA